TCAACCCGCCAGGATTCGAGCCCTGACACGACTGCTAGCCGACCGAGAACGCTAACCGCTGGACCTGGGATAATCAAAAGCAGTCCTGAGCTTTGTTATATTTCACAAGCCTGTTCAACGAGCTTAGGCGCCGTGAACCTCTAATGGGGACTAATGAGAATATATATATATATATATATATATATATATATATCTGAACAAACCATTTATGAAACATGCTTGATTTTAGCAAGAACAAACCAATGAGCGTACCAACCTATAGTCTAAACTTTAATTTAAAAGTGGTATTTCAAAAAATAAATCCCTGTTAAGCTGGACCTCAATAACCCACAAATCTGGATAACCAATACCAATTTGCCAACAACACAGTTCCTAGGCAAATTTTCGAGAACTGCTCATAGAAGAACCAATCAATATTTATAACATGATAATGAGTGTCTGTAAAGTCCCTGTGTATTATGTAAAAATAATGCTAATTTTAAATTTATCTTGGAAGGATGTGTCTCGTGATTAATGTGCACGAACGTGTGTTAGAACTCGTAGGATTTAGGGCAAGAGGTGCGAAAAGATTAAAAAAAACACTCTTAAGACAATTTCACACATCCGGACCTACAGACAAAGCAATGCGTGAGTTGGCAAATCGAAAAGAACATGTTGTGTTGAAGATGATTTAACACCTATAGACTTTCAGGTACACAACTGCGGGCACAATCTGTCATCTACTTCCGAGTCATATACTGTATATGATTGGTTTATTTCGAATAATGCTGCTGTTCATCATATATTATGTCTGAACCACAAATAAAAAATAAATAAATAAAACTTCACCTAATAATCTTCGAGTACCGATATGCTAGATGCTGGACATTGCCAACTCACACACAGTATCACTTTCGACTGAGTGTAACCAAAGCAGCTGTTCAGAAGATAAAAATTAACATTAAAAAATAGGAGGCGCCACGTTCAAGTTATAAGTAAATTACACGGAGAGAATTATCGTAGAAGAGCCGCCGTGTTTGAACACGTGGCTCACATTCTCTTCAGCAATGAGAGAACTTTCGTCTCATTTGGTAAATTTAATCGACAAAACTGCCGTATATGAGATGGTGAAAAACCAACTGAGTTCTACAAAAGGGAAAGAGATTCTCCTCAAGTTAATGTCCAGATAAGTATGACAAAGAAAGAGATTTACGGCACTATTTTCTTAACACGAACTGTTTATCTTGACATGCTTCAACAATTTCTAAAGCTCCAGCTTCTCGCAAATAACATTCTCAAAATCATTGGATTGGTGGAATCAAACCTGGTACAACACGATCTCTGAACCTAACACTTCTACACCGCATGAGGTTTTATAAATCTGAGATGTACAAAACAGTTGTAGACGTCACTGATTTTGTGAATCCGCGGAAATGCGGCAGTGAGATCCACAACTGGTAGTGAATGTTCGGTAATGCTGCCAATAGAGTTAGCTTGTACATACACTAATGGCGTTAAAGTCAATTTTAATATAAATATATAATGGAATGATCCATTAGTTTGTGGCAACCAAAGGTAAATAAAGATGGAACCGAGATTTTAACATACCATCCAGCTTAGAACACAAGGAGTATTCCACACATTCACTTTGGTTAAGTGAGAGTTTATGTACTGTATTTCAAGCTCGGGAAAACCCTTCCTGAAAAAAAAGGTTTAAGTCAGGAAGCCAAACCCGGTTTAGCTAGGAGTAAGGCAAACACTGGAGGTTTTTTTCACACTTTCGTAAATATCAAGTTTTTTAGGACCCAAGCTCACACCTAATAATAACTCTATTTTCTTGGTAAGCGGATAGATTTGCCACAATAACTACTGTAGTACTATAAGCATTATCGTTATACGTCTACTTTACAAGGGGACTGCGGCGACCAAGTGGATAAAGGGCTTGCCTCCTGTCCTATGGGTCACTGGTTCGATTTCTGTATCAACATTTTCCCTAAGGTTTATTTATGCCGCATCTCTCATATTAAAATTTCCTGTAACTAGATAATTTTGTTTCTATTTTTTTCTTATTTCCAAATTTTCCTTGTTCGTGATTTTCGATGTTTCTGTTCTTTTTTTTCTTTTTTTTTTTTTTACCTTGTTTCAATTTTCCCTTTACTAAATTTTCTTCCTAAATTGTCGTAATTTCTCAATTTCCATTTGTTTTAAGTTACTGGTTTCTGAATTTCCCTTGCATTTTTACATTTTAAATTTCCCAATCATAATTTTCCGTTTTTATATATTCCATAGTTCTAAATTGTCATTTACTTCCAAAAACCAATATATTTCTAAAATTTCACTTAGTTTTCTAAATTTTCCTTCATTTACCGTACTCAAATATTTTCCACGTTTCTAAAGTTCCTTGTTTCCCTACATTTTCTTTCATACTGTATTCTTACTTAACTAAGTTTTCCTTAATTATATATTTCCTCAATTTTCAAATTTTTCATCGGGTTTCAATTTCATCAAAACATCCTGGTTTACACTATCTGGTCCGTCGTTTTTGTGAAATTATTCTAAAATTAACAACAAATTTGTTTCAGTAATTGATACAACTTACTCGACATTCCACTGAATATTCCACCACTATGATATTCTAAACATTCAATTGATATTAAGTTACTTTTCATCTCTGCGATCGTTCTAAACACTCACTTAACATTTGCTATTATTGTTCATCACCGTTAATCTGTTATCATCTGAACATTCAATATCACTTCCCACTCATACATTTCCGTAGGATTACGTTCTCATTTTAAGCCGCTGTTACCTTCTTAACATTTATTTCTTCCATCTTTGAATCTCCGCACCTCGTCTTTATCAGTTTATCCTATAGTCAGTGACGTCTTTCTTAGCTCTCTGCCACTTCCCAAACAATGATAATATTTTCTTAATTACAATATTTTCATTAAATAAATCTTCCAATCTTCCACTCGATATTTCTTGATATATATATATATATATATATATATATATATATATATATATATATATATATATATATATATATATATATATATATATATATATATAATGCATTTTATTATTTTTTCCTAATGGTACAATATTCAACATTTATCTTAAAAATTGCTTGGGATTTCCTTGTATCTTTACTCTGTATTTGAACATTATTTTCGCCGTAACTCCCTGTCAACTCCTTCATCCACCCCGACTAAACCACAGCCTACCCGGTTTCCATATGTCTAAGTATTTAATTTTCAATTTATTCTGTAAACAACTAAGTACTGTACCCAGAAACTCACCGGCAACACCAATGTCACATAACACCTTCCGTCAGGGTATGGTATGACTGTACATACATACACATTCTTTCTTTTATAAGCCCTCTTATATCACATAACACAAGTGGTAACATAACCAGTAGCCATAGCCGTACACTGGCGCATTTCTTCCACTTATCTTTCGTTCTGTTTGTAAGTCAGAGAGGTCCCTTAAGATATACTGTATGTCTTTGGTCTAACTCTAACACATTAATGGTTTACCCAGAAGCCACTGAACAGTTTAATACACCACATCGACCATTTGCATAATTTTTAATATTCTTCTGTTCTTTTGATCGCACAAACAACACAACCTAATCGAAATTAATTTTACGTTTTCCCTGCATGAGAATTGTTGAGCCTCGTCTGTGCTCACTCTTCTACTTAACTTGCATGACCTGTTCTTACATTTTAACACAAGAATACACCACTAAAATTAATTTCCTAGTTATTATATAAAACAAAATCTAAACATAATCATTCTTCTACTTCCTAACATTTGAACACAGTGTAAACTTACAACACACAACTGTAACCTAACCCTACCTCACCAAACACAACTGTAACCTAACCTAACCTAACCTAACCTAACCTAACCTAACCTAACCTAACCTCACCAAACACAACTGTAATTAAGAGCCATTGTGTTTGTTGTTACAAAATTGAATATAATATATAGACTTACTTTTTAATATGTGATGAACAAAGAGCGGATTGTGGAATGAATGCCGGAGTGTCTCTGAGTGAGGCTCCTTTAGTTATACCAGGGTGGAGGTAGGACGTTGTTGGGAAATAGGAAGGTGTACAGGAAGTTGAAGGAATGAGGAAAGAAAGGAGTATGACTGAACGAAGAAGGATAAGGAGAGAGATAAGAAAATAAAGGTCAATACAGTATACGAAAGAGAGGAATTGAAGAAGATTAGATAACGTCAACATTATCGTGATGATCGTGTGTGGGTGACGGAGGAGAGGGAATAGGTGGAAAAGGCTTAAGAGAAAAAAGGGGGATAGAAGCAATGACGAGAGGATGAAGTTGACGGAGGAATAAGAAAGGAGAAGAGGGTGGATGAGGTATGGAAAAAAGGAACGGGAGGGAGGCATAGAAAAGGAAAGAAGGATAGGAGGAACCGAAGAGAGGAGGGTGTTGGAGTAGGCATGTAAGAGAGGAAGGGAAAGGAGACATGTAAGAGAGAGTGGCTTAGAAGTACGGGAAGGGAGGTGAGGGTGGTGAGGGTGCTTGGCAAGTGGCCGGCAGCAGCAAGTAGAGCGAGGACTCCCACGTCCCTGGTCCTTACCTGCAACACAAAAGGAAATACGCCAAGTTAGTCCCATTCCACACACTTCCCCTTCCACCACGCTCTCCTTTAACACCTTAAGTCTCCCACATCACTGTTAGTAATTAGTGTCCCTACAAATTCACAAGAGGGAGGCACCAATTAATTGATTACAAAATCAATCAATTGTTACCTCCCTCTACAGTATATTATAGATTTTCACCACCAAGATGGTCACCTCCACACATACTGTACATCCCATATATCGCAATAATGAACCCGTGTCTCCCACATACCACAGTAGAAATGATGATGAAATAACGAAAATCTGTATTACCTACGGGAAGGTACAGTACAATTAGTGACATAACACCTCAACAAAGTGCAGTGACGTAACCCAGCCTAAACCCTCGCGCGGCCGTGAGGGATGGCCGCCCATGACCATGAACTAAGTTACACCCGTGTCCTCAACAAGGCTACACCGCAGTCTTCAACAAGGCTACACCTGTGTCCTCAACAAGGCTACACCCGCGTCCTCAACAATGCTACCGCGTCTTCAACAACGCTACACCCGCGTCCTCAACAAGGCTACACACGCGTCCTCAACAAGGCTACACCCGCGTCCTCAACAAAGCTACACCCGTCCTCAACAAGGCTACACACGCGTCCTCAACAAGGCTACACCCGTCTCAACAAGGCTACACCGCGTCCTCAACAAGGCTATATCCACGTCCTCAACAGGCTACACCGCACATCCTCAACAAGGCTACACCGCGTCCTCAACAAGGCTACACCGCGTCCTCACAAAGGCTACACCCGCGTCCTCAACAAGGCTACCCGCGTCCTCAACAAGGCTACGCGTCTTCAACAACACTACACCCGCGTCCTCAACAAGGCCCCGCGTCCCTCAACAAGGCTACACCCGCGTCCTCAACAAGGCTACACCGCGTCCTCAACAAGGCTACACCCGCGTCCTCAACAAGGCTACACCCGCATCCTCAACAAGGCTACACCCGCGTCCTCAACAAGGCTACATCCCGCGTCCTCAACAAGGCTACACCGATTCCTCACCAAAGGCTACACCTGCGTCCTCAACAAGGCTACCCGCGTCTTCAACAAGGCTACACCCGTGTCCTCAACAAGGCTACACCTGATTCCACAACAAGGCTACACCGATTCCTCAACAAGGCTACACCTGATTCCTCACCAAAGCTACACCTGCGTCCTCAACAAGGCTACACCCGCGTCTTCAACAAGGCTACACCGTGTCCTCAACAAGGCTACACCCGATTCACAACAAAGGCTACACCAACGTCCTCAACAAGGCTACACCCGCGTCCTCAACAAGGCTACACCCGCGTCCTCAACGAGGCTACACCCACGTCATTAACAAGGCTACCAGCGTCTTCAACAAGGCTACACCCGATTCACAACAAGGCTACACCAGCGTCCTCAACAAGGCTACCCGCGTCCTCAACAAGGCTACACCGCGTCCTCAAAGGCTACACCGCCTCCTCTACAAGGCTACACCGCGTCTTCAACAAGGCTACACCGCGTCCTCAACAAGGCTACACCCGCCTGCCTCTCAACAAGGCTACCCGCGTCCTCAACAAGGCTACACCCGCCTCCTCAACAGGCTACACCCGCCTCCTCAACAAGGCTACACCGCCTCCTCAACGAGCTACACCCGCGTCTTCAACAGGCTACACCATCGCGTCCTCAACAAGGCTACACCCGCCTCCTCAACAAAGCTACACCGCGTCCTCAACAAGGCTACACCGCCTCCTCAACAAGGCTACACCTGCCTCCTCAACAAGGCTACCGCCTCCTCAACAAGGCTACACCCGCGTCATCAACAGGCTACACCCGCGTCTTCAACAAGGCTACACACCGCGTCCTCAACAAGGCTACACCCGCCTCCTCAACAAGGCTACACCGCGTCATCAACAGGCTACACCCGCGTCTTCAACAAGGCTACACACCGCGTCCTCAACGGGCTACACCCGCCTCCTCAACGAGGCTACACCAGCGTACTCAACGAGGCTACACCCGCGTCATCAACAAGGCTACACCCGCGTCTTCAACAAGGCTACACCCGCGTCCTCAACAAGGCTACACCGCCTCCTCAACGAGGCTACACCACGTGCTCAACAAGGCTACACCCGCGTCCTCAACAGGCTACCCGCCTACTCAACAAGCTACATCCGCCTCCTCTACAAAGCCACACCCGCCTCCTCTTAAAGGCTACACCGCCTCCTCTACAAAGCTACACCGCCTCCACACAAGGCTACCGCCTCCTCTACAAGCTACACCCGCGTCCTCTACAAAGCTACACCCCCTCCTCTACAAGGCTACACCCCGCCTCCCTCAACAAGGCTACACCCGCCTCCCTCTACAAGGCTACATGCCGCATCCTCTACAAGGCTACACCCGCCACCTCTACAAGGCTACCCGCCACCTCTACAAGGCTACACCCGCCTCCTCTACAGGCTACACCCCCCTCCTCTACAAGGCTACACCCGCTCCTCCACAGCTACACCGCCTCCTCTAAAGGCTACACCCTCCTCCTCAACAAGGCTACACCTGCCTCCTCAACAAGGCTACACCCGCCTCTCTACAAGGCTACACCCGCATCCTCTACAAGGCTACACCCACCCCTAACAAGGCTACACCTGTCTCCTCAACAAGCTACACCCACCTCCTCTACAAGGCTACACCCGCGTCCTCAACAAGGCTACACCCGCATCTTCAACAAGGCTACACCCGCGTCCTCAACAAGGCTACACCTGCCTCCTCTACAAAATACACCCGCCACCTATACAAGGCTACACCCGCCACCTCTACAAGGCTACACCGCCACCTCTACAGGCTACACCGCCACCTCTCTGAGCTACACCGCCTCCCTCTACAAGCTACACCGCCACCTCTACAAAGCCACACCCGCCACCTCTACAAGGCTACCGCCTCCTCTACAAGGCTACCGCCACCTCTACAAACTACACCCGCCACCTCTAAGGCACCCGCCTCCTCTACAAGGCTACACCCACCTCTACAAGGCTACACCCACTACACTACACCTCCTCTACAGGCTACACCGCCACCTCTCTCTAAACTACACCTGCCTCTACAGGCTACACCTCCTCTACACCGCCACCTCTACACCTCTCTAAGCCACCCGCCTCTCTAGGCCACACCGCCACCTCTGGGCTACACCCACTGCCACCTCTCTAAGGCTACACCGCCTCATCTACAAGGCTACGCCTCCTCTAGGCTACACCGCCACCTCTACAAGGCTACACCTGCCATCTCTCTAAAGCCCACCGCCTCCTCTACAAAGCTACACCACCACCTCTACAAGGCTACAACCGCCACCTCTACAAATACACACCTCTCTAGGCTACCTCACACCGCCTCCTCTCAAAGGCTACCCGCCTCCTCTGGCTACACCCGCCTCCTCTACAAGGCTACACCCACCTCCTCCTACAAGGCTACCACCTCCTCTACAAAGGCTACTCAACAAGCTACACCCCTCCTCTAAGGCTACACCCGCATCCTCTACAGGCTACCACCTCTACAGGCTACACCACCTCCTCTAGGCCTCCTCCAACACGCCGCCTCCTCTACAAGGCTACACCACGTCCTCCAAGGCTACCCGCCTCTCCCAGTTTCACGCCTCCTCTGAGCTACACCCTGCCTCCTCTACAAGGCTACACCGCCTCCTCAACAAGGCTACGCCCGCCGCCTCTACAAGGCTACGCCCGCCTCCTCTCAAAGGCTACACCGCCACCTCTACAAGGCTACACCCGCCTCCTCTACAAAGGCACCTCCTCCTCAACAAGGCTACACCGCCTCCTCCACAAGGCTACACCACCTCCTCTACAAAGGCTACACCCGCCTCCTCTACAAAGGCTACACCTCCTCAACAAAGCTACACCCGCCTCCTCTACAAGGCTACACCCGCCTCCTCTACAAAGGCTACACCTCCTGAGGCTACCCCCTCCTCAACAAGGCTACCCGCCTCCTCTACAAGCTGCCTCCTCTAAGCTACACGTCCTCCTCAGGCACACACCACGTCCTCAAGTACACCCGCGTCCTCCTAAGGCTACACCGCCTCCTCTGCATCTCACCAGCCACTCTGAGGCTACACCGCCTCCTCCACAAGGCTACACCGCCTCCTCTACAAACTACCACCCACCTCTACAAGGCTACGCCCGCATCCCTTCAGAGATACACCCCACCTCCTCTACAAAGCTACACCCCGCCTCTGGCTACACCAACCACCTCTACAAGGCTACACCGCCTCTCTACAAACACCACCTCCCTATACAAGGTTACCCCTGCTCCTCTACAAGGCTACACCCGCCCTCCTCAAGGCTACACCTCCTCTCCCACAAGGCTACACCTCTCCCACGCCTCTCCTCTACAGCTACACCCCTTGCTCCTCTAGGCTACACCCGCCTCCTCTACAAGGCTACACCGCCTCCTCTAAGGCTACACCACGCCTCCTCTAGGGCTACACCCGCCTCCTCTACAGGCTACACCTGCCTCCTCTACAAGGCCACCGCCTCCTCTACAAGGCTACACCCGCCTCCTCTACAAAGGCTACACCCGCCTCCTCTACAAGGCTACACCGCCTCCTCTACAGTACACCGCCTGCCTCCTCCCACCAGGCCACCACTCTCTGCAACACCACCTCTCACAAGGCTACACCGCCTCTCCTTAACCTGCCTCCTCAACAAGGCTACACCGCCTCCTCTACAGGCTACACCCGCCTCCTCTACAAAGCTACAACCGCCTCCTCTAAGGCTACACCGCCTCCTCTACAAGGCTACACCCGCCCACCTCTAAACGCTACACCTGCCTCCTCTACAAGGCTACACCCCTTCCTCCTCTAAGCTACACCTGCCTCCTCAACAAGGCTACACCCGCCTCCTCAACAAGTACAACCACCTCTCTACAAGTACACCCGCCTCCTCAACAGGCTTCAGTTCCTCTACAACACGCACTCCTCACCTCTCTAAGCTACACCGCCTCCTCTACAAAGGCTACACCTGCCTCCTCTACAAGGCTACACCACCTCACCTCTACAAGGCTACACCCACCTCCTCTACGCTACACCGCCTCCTCTACAAAGCTACACCCACCTCCTCTACAAGGCTACACCGCCTCCTCTACAAACTACCCACCTCCTCTACAAGGCTACACCCGCCTCCTCAACAAGGCTACACCGCCTCCTCTACAAGGCTACACCCCTGCCTCCTCAACAAGGCTACACCCGCGTCCTCAACAAGACTAACCCCGCCTCCTCAACAGGCTACACCGCCTGCCTCCTCCCAACAGGCTACACCTGCGTCCTCAACAAGGCTACACCCGCCTCCTCAACAAGGCTACACCCGCCTCCTCTAACAAGGCTACACCGCGTCCTCTACAATGCTACACCCGCCTCCTCTACAAGCCTGCACTGCCTCTCAACAAGGCTACACCACCTCCTCAACAAAACTACACCGCCTCCTCAACAAGGCTACACCTGCCTCCTCTACAAAGGCTACACCCACGTCCTCATTTTCCCCCACCCTACAAGGCTTCCACCTGCCCTCAACAAGCTACCCTTACTCCTCTGGCTTCCACCCACTGCCTCTATAGGCTACACCCTGCCTCCTCTACAAACTACACCCACCTCCCTCTACAAGGCTACACCCGCCTCCTCTAAGCTACACCTCCTGTGCCACCTCTCTACAAGGCTACACCGCCTCCTCTGGCTGCCTCCTCTACAAGGCTACACCCCTCCTCAACAAGGGCTACACCCGCCTCTCCTCTACAAAGCTACATGCATCTCTAGGCTACCGCCACCTCTGCATCACACCTCTCTCTGAGCTACACTCCTCAACATTTCACCACCTCCTCTACAAGGCTACACCCGCACGTCCTCAAAAAGGCTACACCGCCTCCTCTACAAGGCTACACCGCCTCTCTACAAGCTACACCCACCTCCTCTACAAAGCTACACCGCCTCCTCAACAAAGGCTGCACTCACAAAACTACACCCGCCTCCTCTACAAGGCTACACCACCTCACCACAAAGGCTACACCGCCTCCTCCTCTACACCTCCTCAACAAAGTACACCGCCTCCTCAACAAACTACCCGCCTCCTCTACAGGCTACACCACCTCTCCTGCAGGGCTACCCGCCTCCTCAACAAGGCTACACCCGCCTCCTCTACAAGGCTACACCCGACTCCTCTGGGGCTACACCCGCCTCCTCTACAAGGCTACACCGCCTCCTCCTTAAGGCTACACCTGCCTCTCCTCTACAAGGCTACACCCTCCTCCTCTCTACAGGCTACCCACGTCCTCCACAGAGCTACACCCGCGTCCTCTAAGCTACACCCGCGTCCTCCACAAGGCTACACCCACCTCCTCTACAGGCCACCAGCCACCTCTCTGCATGTTCACCTCCTCCACAAAGGCTCACCCGCCTCCTCTACAAGCTACACCACCCACCTCTACAAGGCTACGCCCACGTCCTCTCAGGCCACCGCCACCTCTAGGCTACACGCCATACACGCTGCCTCCTCTACAGGCTACACAGCCACCTCCTACAGGCTACCCACCTCCTCTACAAGGCTACACCGCCTCCTCAGGCTACCCGCCTCCTCTACAAGGCTACACCCGCCTCCTCTACAAGGCTACACCCGCCTCCTCTACAAGGCTACCACACCCGCCTCCTCTGCTACACCCGCCTCCTCTACAAGCTACACCACCTCCTCTAAGCTACACCCGCCTCTTCAACAAGGCTACTCGCCTCCTCAACAAGGATACACCGCGTCCTCAACAAGGCTACCTACCTCCTCAACAAGACTACACCGCGTCCTCAACAAGGCTACACCCACACCTCCTCTACAAGGCTACACCTCCTCCTCTACAAGGCTACACCAGCCTCCTCAACAAGGCTACACCTGCCTCCTCTAAGACTACACCGCGCCTCCTCAACAAGGCTACCCACCTTCTCAACACAGCTACACCGCCTCCTCAACAAGGCTACACCTGCCTCCTCTACAGGCTACACCCACCACCTCTACAGGCTACACCCACCCCCCTCTACAAGGCTACACCAGCCACTCAACAAGGCTACACCCGCCTCCTCTAAGGCACCACGTCCTCAACAAGGCTACACCCGCCTCCTCTGAAACTACACCGCCTCCTCTACAAGGCTACACCCCTCCTCTACAAACCACCCGCCTCCTCAACACCACCTCCCTCTACAAGGCTACACCACGTCCTCCCACAAGGCTACACCTCCTCCTCAACAAAATACACCCGCCTCCTCTACAAGGCTACACCCGCCTCCTCTACAAAGGCTACACCCGCGTCCTCAACAAGCTACACGTCCTCAACAAGGCTACACACCCGCCTCCTCCTAAGCTACACCCGCCTCCTCTACAAGCTACACCCGCCTCCTCTACAGGCTACACCGCCTCCTCTACAAGCTACACCGCCTCCTCTAAGGCTACACCGCCTCCTCAACAAGGCTACACCCACCCACTCCTCTACAGGCTACACCCTCTCCTCTACAAGCTACACCTGCCTCCTCTACAAGGCTACACCCGCCTCCTCTGAGGCTACCACGTCCTCAACAAGGCTACACCGCGTCTTCAACAAGGCTACACCCGCATCCTCTCAAGCCCACCCGCCTCCTCAACAAGGCTACACCGCGTCCTCAACAAGGCTACACCCGCGTCCTCAACAAAGCCACCCGCGTCTCAACAAGGCTACCGCCTCCCTCTACAAGGCTACCCGCGTCCTCAACAGGCTACACCCGCGTCCTCTGCAAAGGCTACACCGCGTCCTCAACAAGGCTACACCGCGTCCTCAACAAGGCTACACCCGCGTCCTCAACAAGGCTACACCCGCCTCCTCTACAAGGCTACACCCGCGTCCTCAACAAAGGCTACCCGCCTCTCCTCTACAAGGCTACCGCGTCCTCCAACAGGCTACACCGCCTCCTCTGCAAGGCTACACCCTCCTCTACAAGGCTACCACCCTCCTCTACAAGGCTACACCCCGCCTCTCTACAAGCTACACCCGCCTCCTCTACAAGGCTACACCCGCCTCCTCTACAAAGGCTTCACCCGCCTCCTCTACAAGGCTACCCACCTCCTCAACAAAGCCACACCCGCCTCCTCTACAAAGCCCTTACTCCCCTCAACAAGGCTACCACGCCTCCTCTACAAGGCTCCACCCGCGTCCTCTACAATGCTACACCTCTCCTCTACAAGGCTACACCCGCCTCCTCAACAAGGCTACACCGCCTCCTCTACAAGGCTACACCCGCGTCCTCCTATAGAGCTACACCCCGCCCTCCTCTACAAGGCTACCACTCCTCTACAAGGCTACACCCGCTCTCTACAGGCTACACCCGCCTCCCTCAACAAGGCTACACCACGTCCTCTAGACTACACCCGCGTCCTCAACAAGGCTACATCCACTTCTCCTCTCTAGGCTACACCGCCTCTCCTACAAGGCTACACCTGCCTCCTCTACAAGGCTACACACCCCGCCTCCTCTACAAGCTACACCGCCTCCTCAACAAGGCTACACCACGTCCTCTACAAGACTACACCCACGTCCTCAACAAGGCTACACCCGCCTCCTCTACAAGCTACACCCGCCTCCTCAACAAGCTACCCACCCCCTCCTCCCAACAAGCTACACCATCCTGCAAACTACACCCACGTCTCTACAATGCTACACACCCACCTCCTCCTACAAAGCTACACCCGCCTCCTCAACAAGGCTACACCCGCCTCCTCAACAAGGCTACACCCGCCTCCTCAACAAGGCTACACCGCCTCCTCTACAATGCTACACCGCCTCCTCTAAAGCTACACCGCCTCCTCAACAAGGCTACACCGCCTCCTCAACAAGGCTACACCGCCTCCTCTACAAGGCTACACCGCGTCCTCTACAATGCTACACCCGCCTCCTCTAAGGCTACACCCGCCTCCTCAACAAGGCTACACCCGCCTCCTCTACAAGGCTACACCGCGTCCTCTATAGAGCTACACCCGCCTCCTCTACAAAGCTACCCTGCCTCCTCTACAAGGCTACACCCGCGTCCTCTACAAGACTACACCTGCCTCCTCAACAGGCTACACCCGTCCTCTAAAGACTACCCGCCTCCTCAACAAGGCTACACCCGCCTCCTCTACAAGGCTACACCGCCTCCTCAACAAGGCTACACCCGCGTCCTCAACAAGGCTACACCCGCCTCCTCAACAAAGCTACACCCCGCGTCCTCAACAAGGCTACCCGCCTCCTCTCAAAGGCTACACCCGCGTCCTCAACAAGGCTACACCCGCCCTCCTCAACAAGGCTACACCCGCGTCCTCTACAAGGCTACACCCGCCTTCTCTACAAGGCTACACCGCGTCCTCTACAAGGCTACACACCGCCTCCTCAACAAGGCTACACCCGCGTCTCAACAAGGCTACACCAGCGTCCTCAACAAAGGCTACACCCGCGTCCTCAACAAGGCTACACCCGCGTCCTCAACAAAGTTACTGCGTCAACAAGGCTACACCCGCCTCCTCTACAAGGCTACACCGCCTCCTCTACAAAGGCTACACCCGCGTCCTCAACAAGGCTACATCCGCGTCCTCAACAAGGCTACACCCGCGTCCTCTACAAGGCTACACCAGCGTCCTCAACAAGGCTACACCCGCGTCCTCAACAGGCTACACCCGCGTCCTCAACAAGGTTACACACCAGCGTCAACAAGGCTACACCGCCTCCTCTACAAAGCTACACCGCATCCTCAACAAAGCTATAATCGCGTCCTCAACAAGGCTACACCACTCGTCTCTACAAAGGCTACACCCCGCGTCTCAACAAGGCTACACCCGCCGTCCTCAACAAGGCTACACCCGCGTCCTCAACAAGGCTACATCACGCGTCCTCAACAAAGGCTACACCGCGTCTCTACAAAGGCTACACCCGCGTCTCAACAAGGCTACACCCGCCTCCTCAACAGGCTACAACCGCCTCCTCTACAAGGCTACACCCCTCCTCTACAAAGCTACACCCGCCTCCTCTACAAGGCTACACCGCCTCCTCTACAAGGCTACACCGCCTCCTCTACAGGCTACACCCGCACGTCTTCAACAAGGCTACCTCGCCTCCTCAACAAGGCTACACCCGCGTCCTCAACAAGGCTACACCTACCTCCTAAACAAGACTACACCCGCCGTCCTCAACAAGGCTACACCCACCTCCTCTACAAAGGCTACACCCGCCTCCTCTACAAACTACACCAGCCTCCTCAACAAGGCTACACCGCCTCCTCTACAAGACTACACCCCGCGTCCTCAACAAAGCTACACCCACCTTCTCCAACACGGCTACACCCGCGTCCTCAACAAGGCTACACCCGCCTCATCTACAAGGCTACACCCACCACCTCTCTACAGGCTACACCAGCCCTCAACAAGGCTACACCCGCCTCCTCTACAGGCTACACCCGCGTCCTCCAACAAGGCTACACCCGCCCTCCTCTACAGGCTACACCGCCTCCTCTACAGGCTACACCCGCCTCCTCTACAAGGCTACACCCCGCCTCTCTCAACAGGCTACACCCGCCTCCTCTACAAGCTACACCCACTGTCCTCAGGCTACACCGCCTCCTCAACAAGGCTACCCGCCTCCTCTACAAGGCTACACCGCCTCCTCTACAAGGCTACACCCGCGTCCTCAACAAGGCTACACCCCGTCCTCAACAAGGCTACACCCCCTTCTCCTCTAGGCTACACCCGCCTCCTCTACAAGGCTACACCCTCCTCTACAAGCTACACCGCCTCCTCTACAAGGCTACACCCGCCTCTAGCTACACCCGCCTCCTCAACAAGGCTACACCGCCTCCTCCTACAAGGCTACACCCGCCTCCTCTACAGAGCTACACCCCGCCTCCTCTACAAGGCTACACCCGCCTCCTCTACAAGGCTACACCCGCTCTCCTCAACAGGCTACACCCGCGTCCTTCAACAGGCTACACCGCGCTCCTCAACAGGCTACACCCGCCTCCTCAACAAGGCTACACCCGCGTCCTCAACAGGCTACCCGCGTCCTCAACAAAGCTACGCGTCCTCAACAGGCTACACACGCCTCCTCTACAAGGCTACACCCGCGTCCTCAACAAGGCTACACCCGCCTCCTCTAAAGGCTACACCGCGTCCTCTACAAGGCTACACCCGCGTCCTCAACAAGGCTACACCCGCGTCCTCTACAAGGCTACACCCGCCGTCCTCACAAGGCTACACCCGCGTCCTCAACAAGGCTACACCGCGTCCTCAACAAGGCTACACCCGCGTCCTCAACAAGGCTACACCCGCGTCCTCTAACAAGGCTACACCCGCGTCCTCAACAAGGCTACACCCGCGTCCTCAACAAAGGCTACACCCGCGTCCTCAACAAGGCTACACCCGCCGTCCTCAACAAGGCTACACCCGCCTCTCTACAAGGCTACACCCGCGTCCTCAACAAGCTACACCCGCCTCCTCTACAGGCTACACCTGCCTCCTCTACAAGGCTACACCCGCCTCCTCTACAAGGCTACACCGCCTCCTCTACAGGCTACACCCTACTCCTCTACAGGCTACACCACCCCTCTCTCCAGGCTACACCCACCTTCTCCTCTCTGTTCCACCGCCTCCTCAACAAGGCTACCCGCCTCCTCAACAAGGCTACACCCGCCTCCTCAACAAGGCTACCACCACCTCCTACAAGGCTACCGCGTCCTCTACAATCTTCCACCCGCCTCCTCTCAGGCTACACCCGCCTCCTCCTCAAGGCTACCACCTCCTCTAAAACTACACCACGTCCTCTATAAGGCTACCACCTCCTCTACAAGGCTACACCGCCTCCTCTAGCTACACCCCACGTACTCTACAAAGCTACACCTCCTCAACAAGGCTACACCACGTCCTCTACAAGACTACACCCCACGTCCTCAACAAGGCTACACCACCCCTCCTCTACAAGGCTACACCCGCCTCATCTACAAGGCTACACCACCCTCCTCTACAAGGCTACACCCCTCCTCTACAAGGCTACACCCTTTCCTCAACAAGGCTACACCACGTCTCTAAGACTACACCCGCGTCCTCAACAAGGCTACACCCGCCTCCTCTACAAGGCTACACCTGCTCCTCAACAAGGCTACACCCGCCTCCTCTAACAGAGCTACACCCAAATCCTACAAGGCTACACCCGCGTCTCTTCCAATGCTACACCCGCCTCCTCTACAAGGCTACACCGCCTCCTCAACAAGGCTACCCGCCTCCTCAACAAGGCTACACCGCCTCCTCAACAAGGCTACACCACCTCCCTACAATGCTACACCCGCCTCCTCTACAAAGGCCACACCCGCCTCCTCAACAGGCTACACCCCTCCTCAACAAGGCTACACCCGCCTCCTCTGAGCTACACCACGTCCTCTACAATGCTACACCCGCCTCCTCTACAAGGCTACACCACCTCCTCCAACAAGGCTACACCCGCCTCCTCTAAGGCTACACCACGTCCTCTATAAGGCTACACCTCCTCTACAAGGCTACACCGCCTCCTCTACAAGGCTACCCCACTGTACTCTACAAGACTACCCGCCTCCTCAACAAGGCTACCCGCGTCCTCTACAAGGCCTACACCCGCACGTCCTCAACAAGGCTACACCCGCCTCTCCAAGGCTACACCACCTCCTCCCCACCCACCTCCTCTACAAAGGCTACCGCCTCCTCTACAAGGCTACACCCGCCTCCTCCAGGCTACACCCACGTCCTCTACAAGGCTACACCCACGTCCTCAACAAGGCTACACCGCCTCCTCTACAAGGCTACACCCGCCTCTCAACAAGAGCTACACCCGCCTCCTCAACAAGGCTACACCCAATCCTCTACAAGGCTACACCCGCGTCCTCTACAATGCTACACCCGCTTCCTCAACAGGCTACACCCGCCTCCTCAACAAGGCTACACCGCCTCCTCTACAAGGCTACACCCGCGTCCTCTACAGTACACCCGCTTCCTCTACAATGCTACACCCGCTTCCTCTACAAGCTACACACCCGCCTCCTCAACAAGGCTACACCCGCCTCCTCACCAAGGCTACACCGCGTCTCTACAAGGCTACACCGCCTCTCTACAAACTACACCCGCCTCCTCTACAAGGTACACCCGCCTCCTCTACAAAGGCTACACCCCTGCCTTCAACAAGGCTACACCGCGTCCTCAACAAGGCTACCCCACGTCCTCAACAAGGCTACCCGCCTCCTCTACAAAATACACCCGCCTCCTCTAAAACTACACCACCTCCTCTACAAGGCTACACCGCCTCCTCTACAAAGGCTACACCCACCTCCTCAACAAGCTACACCCGCCTCCTCTACAAAGGCTACACCCGCCTCCTCAACAAAGGCTACACCCACGTCCTCTACAAGACTACACCCGCAGTCCTAAACAAGGCTACACCCGCCTCCTCTACAAGGCTACACCCGCCTCCTCAACAGGCTACACCCGCCTCCTCAACAAGGCTACACCCAAATCCTCTACAAGGCTACCGCCTCTCCAACAAGTACACCGCGTCCTCACAAACTACACCGCCTCCTCAACAAGGCTACACCCGCCTTCTCTACAAGGCTACACCGCGTCCTCTACAAGGCTACACACACCGCCTCCTCAACAGGCTACACCGCGTCCTTAACAAGGCTACACCAGCGTCCTCTACAGCTCACCCGCGTCCTCAACAAGGCTACACCCGCGTCCTCAACAAGGTTACACCTACGAGCACACCACTTGCCTCCTCTACAAGCTACACCCGCCCTCCTCTACAAGGCTACACCCGCCTCCTCTACAAGGCTACACCCGCGTCCTCAACAAGCTATATCCGCGTCCTCAACAAGGCTACACCCGTCTCTACAAAGGCTACACCAGCGTCCTCAACAAAGGCTACACCCGCGTCCTCAACAAGGCTACACCCGCGTCCTCACAAAGGTTACCGCGTCAACAAGGCTACACCCGCCTCTCTACAGGCTACACCCGCCTCCTCTACAAGGCTACACCCCACGTCTCAACAAGGCATATCCGCGTCCTCAACAAGGCTACACCCGCGTCTCTACAAGGCTACACCCGCGTCCTCAACAAGGCTACACCCGCGTCCTCAACAAGGCTACACCCGCGTCCTCTACAAGGCTACATCCGCACGTCCTCAACAAGGCTACACCCCGCGTCTCTACAAGGCTACACCCGCCTCCTCAACAAGGCTACAACCGCCTCCTCTCAAGGCTACACCCCGGCTCCTCCTACAAGGCTACACCGCCTCCCTCTACAAGGCTACACCCGCCTCCTCTACAAGGCTACACGCCTCCTCTACAAGGCTACACCCGCCGTCTTCAACAAAGGCTACACTCGCCTCTCCCTCAACAAGGCTACACCCGCGTCCTCAACAGGCTACCTACCTCCTAAACAAAGACTACACCCGCGTCCTCAACAAGGCTACACCCACCTCCTCTACAAGGCTACACCCGCCTCCTCTACAAGGCTACACCCGCCTCCTCTACAAGGCTACACCAGCCTCCTCAACAAGGCTACACCCGCCTCCTCTACAAGACTACACCCGCGTCCTCAACAAGACACCCACCTTCTCTACGGCTACACCGCGTCCTCAACAAGGCTACACCCGCCTCATCTAAGCTACACCCACCACCTCTACAAGGCTACACCAGCGCACTCCCAACAAGGCTACACCCGACTCTCTACAAGGCTACACCCGCCTCCACTAGCACATGCCTCCTCTACAAACTACACCACCTCCTCCTAGGCTACACCCGCCTCCTCTACAAGCTACACCCGCCTCCTGTACAAACTACACCCGCCTCTCTACAAGGCTACACCCGCCTCCTCTACAAAGCTACACGTCTTAACAAGCTACACCCCCGTCCTCAAGCTACACCACCTCCTCAACAAGCCTACACCCCGTCCTCAACAAGCTACCACGTCTCAAGGCTACACCCGCGTCCTCAACAAGGCTACACCCGCCCTCCTCTACAAAGGCTACACCCGCGTCCTCAACAAGGCTACACCCGCCTCCCTCTACAAAGGCTACACCCGCGTCCTCCTAAGGCTACACCCGCGCTCCTCAACAAGGCTACACCCACGTCCTCTACAAAGGCTACACCGCGTCCTCAACAAGGCTACACCCGTTCTAACAAGGCTACACGCGTCCTCAACAAGGCTACACCGCGTCCTCAGGTTACCCGCGTCCTCAACAAGGTTACACCCGCGTCCTCCACAAGGCTACACCGCGTCCTCAACAGGCTACACCCGCGTCTCAACAAGGTTACACCCGCGTCTCCAACAAGGCTACACCGCCTCCTCTACAAGGCTACACCCGCGTCTCAACAAGGCTACGTCCTCAACAGGCTACACCCGCGTCCTCAACAAGGCTACACCCGCGTCCTCAACAAGGCTACACCCGCGTCCTCAACAAGGCTACACCCACGTCCTCAACAAGGCTACACCCGCGTCTCAACAAGGCTACACCGCGTCTCCAACAAAGGCTACACCCGTCTCCTCTACAAGGCTACACCCGTCCTCAACAAGGCTACACCCGTCTCCTCTAGAGCTACACCGCGTCCTCAAAAACTACACCCGCGTCCTCAACAAAGCTACACCCGTCTCCTCTACAAACTACCCACGTCCTCAACAAGCTACACCGTCTCCTCTACAAGGCTACACCCGCGTCCTCAACAAGGCTACACCCGCGTCCTCAACAAGGCTACACCGTCTCCTCTAAAGGCTACACCCGCGTCCTCAACTAGGCTACACCCACAGCGGAAAAATAAGTGGACAGGGTAAGAGAGTTCTGGGATGCAGTAGGTGGGAGGGAGGTTATGTGGGGAAAATATGTGATTGGGAGGTTATGTAGAGAATGTTATGTGGAGGTATGTGGAAATGTTATGTGGCAGAGAGAAGTTATGTGGGAATATGTTATGACGAAGAGGTTATAGAAGGAAGTATGTAAGAAAAATATTATGTGGCAGGAAGGTATGTGGGAATATTGTGTGGCAGGAGGGGTTGTGTGGGGGGAATATGTTTATGTGTGAGGAAGTGTTATGTGAAAAGTTATGTGGAGAAAATGTTATGTGGCAGAAAGGTTATGTGGGGAATTTGTTATGTGGCGGAGAGGTATGTGAAAATATGTTATGTGGGGAATATGGTTGTAGGGGGTATGTGGGGAAGAGTTATGTGGGAAAATGCTATGTGCAGGGAGGGCTTATGCGGGGAAATGTTATGTGGCGGGGAGGTTATGTGGGGAAGAAGTTATGTGGGGAGAAAATGTTATGTGGCGGGAGTTATGTAGGGGGTATGTTATGTGGCGGAGAAGAAGTTATGTGGGGGAATATATGTTATGTGTGAGAGGGTATATGTGGAAAGAATTATCTGGGAATATGTTATGTGGCAGGAAGGTTATGTCTGGGGAATATGTTATGTGGTGGGAGGACGTTATGTGGGGAAGAGGTTATGTGGGGAATGTTGTGAGGATATGTTGGGAATATGTTATGTGGAGGAATTATGTGGGAGAAATATTTATATAGCAGGAGGTTATGGGAGAATATGTTATGTTGAGTATGTGGGGATGTTATGTGAATGAATGTTTTGGGAGTATGTGGGATATGTTTTGAGGAATGTGGAAATGTTGAATGTAGTATGTGGGAAGGGTATGTAGAAAATGTTACTTGGAGGTTATGTGGGAATATGTTTATGTGGGGGAGGTATGTGGGAATATGTTATTTGGCAGGAAGGTATGTGGGGGTGTTATGTCGAGAATGTTTGTGGGAGAATATGTTATGTGAAGAGTTGTGTGAAATTGTTATGTGGGAATATGTTATGTGGAGAAATTATGTGGGAATATGTTATGTGGCAGGAGGTTATGTGGGAATGTTATGTGGGGGAAGGTTATGTGAGAAAATTTTATGTGGGAGAGTATGTGGGGAATATGTTATGTATTTTGTGAGAATATGTTTATATGAAGGTTATGTAAAGGATATGTTATGTGGGGAATATATATTGTTATTTAGCAGGAGGAGGTTATGTAGGGTTGTTATGTCGAGAATATGTTATGTGGAAATATGTTATGTGGGGGATTATGTGGAATGCTATATGGGGAAGGTTATGTGGGGTGTTATGTCGAGAATATGTTATGTGGGGAGAATATGTTATGATGGGGAGGTTATAGGGTGAGGAGGATGCGAGGAAGGCGGGTTAAAGGATGTGGGGGTAAACATAAAAAAAGTTGGTATTCTGAGAAAATTCTCCGTGTCTCTCACCAATAACTGGAAGCGAATAGATGTGCTGCGCTTGAAGATAATGCGAGAAAGTGTGTGTGATGGTGAGTGTGGTGTGAGTGTGAGGTGTGTGTGTGTGTGTGTGTGTGTGTGTGTGTGTGTGTGTGTGTGTGTGTGTGTGAGTGTGTGTGTGAGTGAGTGTGAGTGTGAGTAAGTGTGTAACAAAGTACCCACTCAAATGCTCAACCCTGAAAAGATGACCACGAAAGACAGGAATAGAGCTACACACACACACACATATGTATAAGATAAGATCACCGAAAAAATCAATAAAAAAAAAAACGTAGCAAATTCCAAGATGATACGTTGGGTCATGCTCACAGCCCTCCCCTAAGAAAAAGAAAAGAAAATAGTCATAACTGTTTTTCTTATTTAAATGGATCATCCTCAAAATACCTAGATACTGTATATAAAAAGCATGTTAGTCATGATTTGAAGTGGACTACATACATTACGTGAAGCAAAACAGGACAAAACACCAGCAGGCAACAGGGTTAGTCACCACTATCGTTTGGCGAAAGATTAATACAACTCTTGACAGTCTGCTTGTAAGAACCCGACAGATGTTGAATCAAAATTAATTGGCCGTCAATGAAAAAAATAGCCTGATAGATCGGTAGTTAGACGCTCAATGTCCGAGACAAAAAATATTGATGATGAGTAAAGATTGCAATCTGATACACATGCGCGCATTACTTCAATCACACTAATGGCGACAAGGGTTCAACTGTACCCACGTTACAGTACACAGCTAATGGTTCAAGTGGGAGTATGAATGCTGAGTTTGTGGAGTGGAGAGTAAAGGTTGCAGGAACGTGGTAGTGGTCAGCCGATACAGGACGTACTGTACAGTATGCGTGAACTGGTCTCTCGTGTAAGCTTTTCTTGAGCAAGTAGCCAACACTCACCACACCAACATCTCAGTTCTTGTTATTTTTCAATCAATTATATTGACCAAGAGTTCAGTACTAATATAGACGATACCAGTTGAAAATATAAAACATATATGGCGTTTGTTCTTGCTCATAGTAACATGAAATTTATGACGTATCTAAACATAGACGCGTTCATACCTGCATGATGTACACGATTTGGTGGATCCCCCAGAACGTGTTTTCTCAACATTGCATTTTTAATAAACTGGAAGAAACTTATTTCAAACATGTCACAATTTTGTATCTCTCTGGGGACCGAGTTTTTAATTTCATTCATCCATCTCAGTTTCTACCTTCCCCTGGTCCTCCTACTCTCAACTTTGCCCATTAATATTTGTTATTATTCCCTCATCCCTAATTATATGACAAAAGTATCTCATTTTTCTTTTTCTCTACATTTCAAGTAGTTCTCTTTTAGTTTTTGCTAATCTTAGTACCTCTCCATTTGTTTTCCTGTCAGTGTAACTTATGTTTAACATTCGCTTATAACATCATATTTCAAAGGCCTCCATCCTCTCTTTGGTGTCTGCTGAAAGTGTCCACGCTTCTAACCCATACAACAGTCCTCGCCATAAACTGTATATAATCTTGTTGGAACACGTCACTACATAACAGTCCTACACAATCATATAACAATGGCACTAATTTTCGTTGCCGGTAACCCATCATTGGCCACTCACTAGTGAAGGTCCAACCCTCCGTCATAGTCACAATCCTCACAATAAAAAAAATATTAATAAAACCGGTTTTCAGTCCGTCTTCAACATTCAAGACCTCGAGGCAGGCACTCTTGGAACTTCCTGCGGATCTGCTGCGGGTGGTTTGAAGTACAGTAGAGTCTCCCAAATAGGTATCGTTAGCCATGGGATCGATGTGCTTCGGGGCTTTCCGAGCAATGTTACTCAACCTGTTTCTGAACGGTTGGTAGTTGTACATCTGCGACCTTTGAGCATGAAGGAGTGTATAACTTTTTCAATACATTAATATAGTTCAATGGATTTCTTGTTATATTGAAGTATCTTGTACGCCAAAGACGATTCCCTCCCCTAATCCTACTCCCATCTCTAGCTGTTGCTGAAATGGTGAGCAGGAGTACCAACTTATCCTTATGCACTAGGGATCTTAGCAAAGGGTTTCGTTTCGCATTTCAAATTGTAGCGACGGAAAATCTAACGATACTTTTTTGGGGGGCGATGTACAAAGGACACTTCAGTACTCCTTTCACTCAAATTAAAAAATATACTAATAATAATAACCACCAAATCATAAAATATCTTCGTTTTTTTTTTTCAGGACCATCTGTTTTCATGGTATACTTCCCCTTTACAAATAACTCTCATGTAAGTTCATTAACATTAATACCTACAGTATAATGTTATCACCACCCAAAAACACACCACAACCTCACCTAAATGTAACTATAAATAACCTTAAGCAACAACCAACACTCACCTTAACAACCACCACTACACCCTAACAGCCATCACCATCCAAAAACACACCACTACCTACAACAACAACCAATAAAACCAACTCTAATAACCACCACGACACCAAATAACAGCAATCATTCAAACCACCCCCCAAACCACCAAAACCGCCCTTAGAACCACAACTAACCATCAAATAAAAGAATAACCACTATCATAACAACAATCACCTTCAACAAGCGTCACAACCACCAAAGTTTCCCCACACGTGTAAACACCAGCTGGCCAAAACCACAAGAATGTTGCACAGGACAGAATACCTACACCTTTGATCTTGCAGCTGTACTACTAAGCAAACACGGTGTTGTAAGACCACAAAAAGAACAACATATTGCTGTAAAACTACCACATAACAAGGACAACATGCTGCTGTAAAACTGCAACATAACAAGGACAACATGCTGCTGTAAAACTGCAACATAACAAGGACAACATGCTGCTGTAAAACTACTACATAACAAGGACAACATGCTGCTGTAAAACTGCAACATAACAAGGACAACATGCTGCTGTAAAACTACTACATAACAAGGACAACATGCTGCTGTAAAACTGCAACATAACAAGGACAACATATTGCTGTAAAACTACAACATAACAAGGACAACATGCTGTAAAACTACTACATAACAAGGACAACATGCTACTGTAAAACTACAACATAACAAGGAC